ATAGAGCAGAAGGGAGGAAGGGGGGAGCGGGGTGCGGGGCGGGGCGAGGGAGAGTGAGAAACATCTGATGTGAGGGAGACACATCAATTGGTTGCCTTCCAAACAGCCCTGACTCGGGGCCAGGGATCAAACCTGCAATCCAGGTACATGCCCTTGACGGAATCAAAGGCGAGACCCTTCCATATGTGGGTAGACGCTCTAATCTCTGAGCCAAACTGACCAGGGCTATTTTTTATTTTTGATCATGTGTAAGTATATACTTTACACTTCCTGTGATACCTGTAGAATCTCTGTGTTTCGACAAAATCAACAACTTTCTAATGGAGAGCAAGGGTCTTCTATGTCTTTTTTGGCCTCCAGTCCAAGACCATGTTTCAGTTCATAGTAAACCTAACATTAGACCTCTTTTCTGAAGAGATAGTTATACCATTTTAATTCATGGAATTTCAAGATTTAAATGAATTAATTTTAAAGGTTATATCTAATGCTTAAATCCACTCTATAGCATTACAGCCACATGACGATTTATTTTCTGTTTAAAGTTTCCAGTGATGGGGATTTAGGGACCACTTCAGAACTACTTTTATTGTTAGAGATTCTTACACTTGTTGGACTGAAGTTAGCCTCTTGGTAGCTCTCCACCATCTGGTCCTGATTTTGCTCATCAGGGTTCCCCAGGACGCATGTTGTACTTCCCTTAAAAGGAAGTATATAGGACAGTCCTCCAGCTTCCCTTAAAAGCCTCTTAGTTTACCTTTGTTATTGTTTACTAGTGAAGACTTCATAGAGACATTTCTAAGATGCTAATTTTATTTATTATTTTTTTAAATCTTCACCCGAGGATATTTTTCTGTTTATCATCAGATAGAGTGAGAGGGAGGGAGAGAGAGAGGGAAAGAGAGAAACATCAATGTAAGAGAGACACATCGATTGGTTGCCTCCCACATGACCTGACCAGGGCCGGGGACGAACTGCAATGGAGGTTTGTGCCCTTAACTGGAATCGAACCCTTGACTCATTGGTCCGTGGGCCGACGCTCTAACCGCTGAGCAAAACTGGCCAGGGCCTAAGATGCTAATTTTAAAATAAAAATGTGTTTTGTGTTCTAGTTGCTAGCAAGTAAAATTCATTTTGTGTTTATATTTCTTCATTCACAGGCAGCTGAAAAAGTTGGATGAAGATAGTTTAACTAAACAACCAGAAGAAGTGTTTGATGTCTTAGAGAAACTTGGAGAAGGGTGAGTGTACAGAAAATATAGGTAGGCCAGTAGGTCCCAGTCATTTTCTTTCTCCAATACCAGAAGGATATGAACCTTTCTAATGGCAATATGTTGCAAACCCAAGGAGAAGAAAGGGGAATGATGCGTGTAGGCAGTGCTCTGGGCGCGGTGGGAGGTAAATTTAGTTTGAAATGCCTTTTCCTCTTCCCCCCAGTCACTATTATAGACAGATTTAGTGATGACAGATTTAGTGATTCCTGGTCTTTTTAACACCAAGGACATCTATTTTTTTTCTGTTGTAGATTCCATGGTTTGCATGATTTTATCTATTTGACGGCACTAATTAGTTTATACTTCATTTAAAAGATTTTATTAGTCACACATTTTTATTTGTAGTTCATAGCTTATGATTGATATGTAATAACTGTTTGAATAAAAAAAATGGAATTCAGCATTTCAGTTTGTGCAATGTGAAATACAGTTAATAAGTCAAGGACTATTACTAGTGTTATAGCTTCCTAAGAGATCCAAAATCCCAGGTTGGGAACCAGTGGACTTCATGAAGCACAGATTTGTGAAGGAGTTTATAATGTACAGGTGACATGATATTTAGTGATAGCCAATGGCCATTATACATAAAGGTAACATCATAATTTTTTGTACTTTTACATATCCTTTTATTCTCGTGTGTTTATTTATTCTCCTGCAGTTACTGGTACATTAAAATACTAGGTATACCCTTTCTTAAGTTTTTGTTGTTTATTTTTGAATAGGTAATTGATTCCTATTCAAAATTCAAAAACATAAAAATGTATACAGTGAAAAAAATCTCTTCCCTGCCTGTATCTCTCAGCATCCCAGAAGCAACCAGTATAACAGGTTTTTTTGTATCCTTCAGAAATAGTTTGCATATGTAAGCAAATGTGTGTGTGTGTGCGCATGTTCATCTCTTGGGAGTACTGGTTCAAGAGACCTGAAATGTTAACTTTAAAAAATGTCCATTGTCTATTTACTATATATGTTCTGATTTTTAAATATCTGTTGTCTAATTACTGTACGCTCTTCAATATCAGGTCTTATATGTCATTAAATTATTTTGGGGTTTAGTGTCATTTATGCCTAATATAGTTCAACAATAATGTTAAACCTCATCCTGGATTACATGGAATACGTTTTTTCATGGATTACCTCCTTGTACAAAACATTAGTCATCATCTTTTTGTAAGCTGGAAAAGTACTCTTTGGAATCAAGCACAAAATCCAGCAGAGAAGGAAAGTAAAAGATGACACCATCTGTGCTGCTTGAAAACAAGTGCAAGATGACTCTGAAGACTGCAAGTTACTTGGCAGCATTAAAGGTATGGGAAAAGGACAGTCCTCTACATCTCCTGCCTGCCTTTTTCAGCTTTAGCTTGGCATCCTTGCTATTTTCCTCAAGGAAATGACTCTTAGGCCCTTACTCTGACAATGCTCTCAGGTTATGCTTTGAATATTTGAATAAGATAAAGAGCGCTGGGCATAACTGACTATGTAACTGACTTGCTTCTTTTATTTCTTAAATATAGGTGTGTCAGAATAGTAAGGATATAGACTCTGAAGTCAGATAGACCTATGTGAAAACTCTTGCTCTATTGTTTATTAGTCATAATAAATGAGTGGGCTTGGGCAAATTGCTTAATATTTTGAAGCTTCACAAGCCTCACCTATAAAATGGGGATGTTAGTATCTCCGTCATAGGATTAGGTGGAGTATTACATGAGATCATGGGGGTGAAGTACTTGGTACAGTGCTTGTTACATAGTAAGTGCTCCGAAAATGGCTACCATTATTTTATTTTAAACTATCAACTGAAGCATTTTTCAAATCTCATATCAAATCATAGTTAAATCTTAAGTCTTCAAGTATATCTAGGTGTTCTTGAAAGGAGCTCTGGGTTGATTGGGTTTGGGGGATGTTAAAAGAAAACTCCAGACAGAATATATCAGGAATATAATGTAAGGAAAAACTAAGCTAATTATTATTGTTTTTTATTGTGTTTTAGATCGATGGATATCCTCATCTATGGAAATTTTCCTATAAAAATATTACAAGGGAGAAAACAAATAATACCTCAACTGTTTCTTCCCATGTTCTTTCCACAAATGCTTGAATTTCTGTCATTGTGGCTGAATGAACTTGATCAAACCTCATTTAACTAGCAAAATCCTGAAGGAAGACTTTAACAGCACTTACTTTCTCAGCACAAACTGCCACGCCATCTGTAAACTGCTCTGAAAAATGAATGGATTGCGAACTCTGACTGACGTGTGCCTTGTGTAATGAGCTCGGCTAACGGACAGTCCTGGATTCTGGAAGATGCAGTCAGTCTGCATTTTAAGGAAATTGTGTGGATGTGTAGACAGCGAAGCCAAAGCTCCAGACCAGGATGACTGGACAGCACTTGGAAAGTGTTTTGAATTAGAGCCTAGTGCCTTTTTCTTCCTATTTTACTTAACGATTTACACATTGACAAAACCCTAGGTTTCATAGCTAGTGAGTGGTAATGTTAAGACTTGTACCTAGTTAATTTGTACTCATATATTTCTGTTTTTCTACATTGATCCTTGCCTCGTGTGGCTTATGGGAAACACCTACTTCCCCACCATCTCTGCCAGTTAAAGTTCATTGAACAACTTAGTTTCTGTTGTAGGGAACCAGGTCTTAAGGTCCTTGCCTATAAGGGAGCATGGCATGATTGCTGAAGCCTTCTAAATCCTCTTCAGATTCCTGTAAGTGCAGTATGTAGAATCGTATCTTTTTTTTTTCTTTTTCTTTATTGTTTTTTAGAGAGAGGAAGGGAAAGGGAGAGAGAGATAGAAATATCAATGAGAGAGAACACTGATTGGCTGCCTCCTGCATGCTCCCCACTGGGGGTTTGGCCCACAACCTGAGCATGTGCCCTGACCAGGAATAGAACCGGCGACCTCTTTGTGCATGAGTAGATGCTCAACCACTGAGTCACACCAGCTCGGCAGAATCATGTATCTTAATTGCTCATGTGAGCTATTATAGTTTTCTTTGCTATCAAGATAGCGTTGGGAAGCATGGAGGGTGTTCTGGTCAACATTGCTGAGTGAGTGTATGTAGAGACCTCTCCTTTCCATTTTAAATATCTAAGAATAATGGGTGAAAATTAATTTTTAAAATATTAGGATACATAGCCAGCTGTGGACCAATGATAGAAAAGATATCTATAATAATAAGGGGGGTTGTGGTAAAGCATGTCTATCCTTGTCAGGAGATTGCAGGTGAGCTTCCTACATGAAGTTGTGGGCTGGGACGAGGCTCTGCGTCTATGAACCAAAGCTGAGATAAATATGGTTGCCACTAGAAAGTATCATTTGTCTGTGGCCTAGGGAAAAAAGGGTGGTGCTGGTCTGACAATAGGAACTGGGCCTGGACTGCATTCATGTATGGTCTCTTGAGGGACAAAACCCCCAAACTTCTAATACGAGACCTGATTTAAATGTACAGCCCAGATGACTATGAAACCGTCATGATGTCATGGAGTGCTCATGATCATGAGCATTATACAGAGGAAAATCATTCAAGATAAAAGGAAACTCATACAAGCAAATCCAATGCCATCAGATAATCAGACCTAACAAATGGAGGAATTCACACCCAAGGAAGTAGAAGTAATGGAGCAATCTGGAAAGAGATTTAACATGTTCGTTTATGATTTTTAAAAAGATAAAAGGAGCAAATAACATCCTTTAAAGAAGTAACATGAGCATTTAGCCCCATAATAGTAAAGAAGTTGGGAATCTTGACAGTGAAAACTACAATTATTAAAAGTTCTGAAGGCCTAATAAATTGGATAAACAGTAAACTGACAACATTGAAAATAATTTGTGATTGAAAGAGAGAAATGAGACCAATCACAAAATGCAGGACAGAGAAATACAGTGTTGGAAACCAGGAAGACAACATGGATTGAGGAGGTTCAATACAGATCCAAGAGGAATTCTAGAAGGATATATTAGAGGAGACAAAGAGGAAATAAAGAGATAATGCTGGGAATTCTCCAGACTTGAAGAAAGACATGTGCCTTCAGATTGAAGTTTATGAAATGCCAAATAAATCGACTCCTAGTTAAATTATAGTAAAATTATAGAATGTTAAGGATAAGGAGGAAATCTTAAAAGTTACAGAAAGAGATTGCCAGTGAAAAATGATAATCTGTGATGGCTGACTTCTGAGCACAACAGTAGAAGCTGGAAAACTGCAGTAAATATGCTGAAGGAAAGCTGTTGTCAAAGAAGAATTCTGAATCCAGCAAAACTTATTCCAGAATGAAGGTGAAACAAAGGCATTTTCACAATATGGGAATTGGTGTATCAAGAATAACTTTGGGGGGAAAAAGGGGAGACATCTGTAATACATTCAACAATAAAGATAAGTTAAAAAAAACAACTTTGGATTAAAGTGACGAAATACCCAACTAACAGTGGCGAACCAATAAGGTCATTTAATAACTAATAATAAATCTGGGGGTGAAAGATTACAGAATGGTTAATTGCCTTGATGATGGTTTAGCATTTGTGTAATTTTCATAGTCTCAAGATGACCCCATTAGTTTTAAGCATCATGGCTCACATGACAGTAACCAAAGCAGGAAAGGAAGTAGCAAGTAAAAATGGGCCTTCTTGTGTACTTCTCTCTCTTACCTGGGAAGAAGTCTTTCCCAGAAACCCTTCAGCAGAATTCCCCTCAAATTTTATTGGCCAGAACTAGGTCACTGGTTGAAGGAAATAGGATTATTGTGACTGGCTTGGACCACCGTGCTTTATCCCCTGGGACCAGGTGTTTACCACCCTAACAAATCAGAGGATTATCTTAGCATGGCAGAAGGGTCTTCTCTGAATGGTCAATGGTTGCTTTACTCTTGCAAAAAAAAAAAAAAAAAAAAAAAAGTTTTATGTAGCATTTAAAGATCACTATACTAGTTTTGCCAACATAAGGGATTCTGATGGAGTGGAAATTTTATGTATTCTGCATAGCGTTTTAAAAACACATTGAAATGATTCTTGAGTACCATTTTGGCAGCTTAGAGCACTCAACTACTTTGATATATTTGGTCACACTGTTTTTTTGATCTTTTCTCACCAAGACAGTGTGAAGAAACAGGTATATTTGGGAAACATGAAAGACAGTTTACTCCTTATTTCACTGACAGCCATCAGGATTTCAGTGAAGATACAACTTATTTAAGATGATGATGGCATGTCATTTGACCATCACAACTGTCTTGTAAAGTAGTTTATGTTGTCATTTTACAGATGAGGAAAAAATTGAGGCACAGCAGAGTTAAAACTATGTAGATGTGATGGTAGGACTCAAATCCTGGGTCTTTAGCTTCTAAATTGAATATTCTTTTAGCCTCCAAATTGGATGGGTACATATGCTTTTTATTTATCTTGATAAACTCTTAAGAGAAGATAGAGTAAAAGGCAAAAATAATATTTATGTGCTCTGTTCACTTGATAGTAGCATTTAAAGAGACTTAGATCTTCAATTTTTTTCCATAGTGTTTTAAGTTTTATTGCAAGTAAGAAGAGCAAGGAATGAAGGACTTCTCGGTAGTAGAGAGTGAACACAAGAAAACAAAGACCTCCACTTTTGTGACTCAGTATAGATGTGGAGCAAGCATAGGCTTTGTATTCAGTCACAACTGGATTGAAATTCTGGACCAACCACTTATTATCACTTATGTGACCTTGGCCAAGTCATGTATTCCTTCTGAGCCTTTTCACATTTACCTGTGAAATAGAGATAATGATCCCCTTCGTCATTATTTTTTGTAAGGATGAACTGAGATGATGGGCAGTTTCTGGTAGATATCAGGCATGCATTGGTAGCTACTATAATAATTTCATACTAACACATTCAGTATAATTTAAATGTTAAGTTTTTAAAGATGCTATCTTGTAGTAGTTCTCTTGATGGCATTCCCTCCCCGCCCTGAAAGTACTTCATCTATCTCAATTTTGTGAATGTAGCTAAGTATATACGTATTAGGCACTTAGGCATATAAATTAGAACTGTCAGTTGCTTGTTTTACCACTTTTATCTCTTGGCTTGCTTTGACTTTATCAATGTTGTCCTTTCCCCAATTATAGGTCCTATGGCAGCGTATACAAAGCTATTCATAAAGAGACCGGTCAGATTGTGGCTATTAAACAAGTTCCTGTGGAATCAGACCTGCAGGAGATAATCAAAGAAATCTCTATAATGCAGCAGTGTGACAGGTAAAGGCAGGTGGTATTACTTTGGCGAGAATGTGGTTTTGAATTTGCTGTGATTATTTAAATAGTTTGATGTCTCAAGTTGCATTTACTTAGATGTTTTGCAGAAAGGAGGGCTTAATGGAATCACTATTAATTTTTTTTTTAGAAAAAAATATGATGAAAAGGTTTGTGTGTTTCAGTAACTAAACTTCTATAGTTTCTATTTCTGCATAGGTTTTTGTTTTGTTTTTTTTCAGCGAGCCCTTTTCAAAAGTAGGAAGAAGAGGCGTAGAGGGAGAAGGTGGTGCTGGCTTTTTTTTTTTTTTTTCTTATATGATCTGTTACTTCCTATTGAGAAAACATTTCTGCAGAGACAGTTAAGAAGAGATCATTCAAATGCTTTTCGCTTTAGAAACCTTAGAATATACAGATAGATCTGTAAAAAGAAAACAATGATTTCTGTCTTACTGTTCCTTTCCTTGTATTTTAAAGAAATTATTCAAGCTAAGAGTAGCTAAGTATTTTATTTTTGAGGAACTAAGATTTGTCAAATGCTGTAGCAGGAAGTGAGGCCAACAGGCGACCGCAGAAAAGCACATGGTTTGCTCTGAAATTCCGTGACAACTTGGGTGGTCACAGTGATGGAGCAGGCTTTGCCAGTACCATTTAGATTTGAGAGAAACACAAATCTAGGGGCAATGCCAGCCCTATGGAGTTGAAAGGAGAATGAGAAAGTCTTGCACATGAGGCTACATTCATTCTTCTAAAGCTCTTTTGGTCAGCAGATCAACTTGGTACCTCCTATTTTTTTTTGTAAAGCTTCACTATTAGGGCAGGGGGAGCCACCTGCTAGGAAATTTGCCCAGGAGCCCTTAAATCTCACAGACTCATGAATGCAGTCATGTGTCTTCTCCCTCCCTGCCTTTCTTTTATTCTCTGTACGTTGGTGGTTACTGGACAAGGAGATAAAAACCTGCTATTTCTTTTTTATTTTATTTTTCCTCACCCGAGGACATTTTTCCATTTTTTTTTTGTACAGATAGAGTGGGAGGGAGAGAGAGGAAGAGAGAGAGAGGGGGAAACATTGATGTGAAAGGGACACATCAAGTGGCTGCCACCCGCACGACCAACCAGGGCCGGGGACAAACTGCAACCGAGGTACATGCCCTTAGTGGGAACCGAACCCGGTCTCTCCGGACAAACTGCAACCGAGGTACATGCCCTTAGTGGGAACCGAACCCGGGTCTCTCCGGACCGCAGGCGGACGCTCTAACCGCTGAGCCAAACCGGCCAGGGCAAAACCTGCTATTTCTTGATTGGCTTGACCAGAGTAAGGTAACAGGATTGCTTTTCCTCCTCCATAAGATACGTTAAGGGAGCTCTTTCCAGTTTGCAAATTGGGACTTTGCCACTTTTGAGCAACCACGCAACAGCTGTGTTCCAAACAGGGTGTATAAATGTCTGTAATTAAAGAAGAGATCTTTTGAAGCGCCTACTCTGTGCTAAGAACTGTAAGGAATACAAATAAATACAGGGCTGAGTTCTCATCCTCTGGGAGTAGATTGATTGGATAGGCCAGGCATATAAATGTACAGGAAAACCTAGCTGAAAATACAAGATATATAGAACATATTCCAACAAGAAGTGCCTGACAGTAATTGCCTTGTAGAGGCTGTAAATACCACAGGAATTGAAGGAAGGGTGAGCAAGTGTGGTGATGTGTACATTAAAAGGCTTATTCATCCATTTCTTCATTAATGTTTATTACGTGGGTTTTTCCTGCTGTCCTTGTTATTGGTATGTTTCCCAGGGATGAAGGTGCTTGAAAGTCTGAGAGTTAATGAAGCTGAGTTGGTTGTAACATCTTCAGCTATTATGCAACATTATTTAGCTCTGATAACAATCTAGCCAGTTAAAGCTGGTAGCTCTCAAATGGCAGATTATTTCGTATTAATGGGATGTTTGACTTTTCTCTGAAATTCCTCATTTGGTATCTCTTGAAACCCCCAGTTTTTTCTTTATAAGATATTGTAGCGGGTTTTTGTTTTTTTCCCCCAAAGTACACAAGACTTCTTGGAAAAATTCAAATAAAAAGAAGAAAATAAAATCACTTCCCTTTGGAGAAAAAATTATTAAATACTACTTGGTAACATTATCCTTCCATTTCTTTTTTTTGGAGTTTCCCTGTGTTTACTATTATGTAATCTCTATTCTGTGTGTGTGTGTGAGTGAATGTGTAAGAGCAGGAAATCTCATTTATCAAGTATTCTGTAACATTTTCCATGGATTTATGGTTATTTCATTATATGGATATTTCATTATGTTTTTAACTAAACTCCCTAATGTTATATTAGATGGTATCTGAATTTTCAGTTTTATAAACAGTACTGTGATGGACTAATTTCTTTTTGAATATCTGTAATTTTTTAAGGATGAATTGTAGACTTAGAAATGCTGAGTTAAAGGACCCATATGTTTTTTCCCACTTTTGTTATTTACTAATCCACCCCCCCCCCAAAAAAAAAAGTTTTACTAGTTTACATTCTTATCAGGTTGTCCATTTTAACCATAAATATGAAAACTTGCTCTTTTGAGCAAAGAAAATGTCAGGTGTTTAACAGCATGAATTAATGTTTCAAGGCTTTTCCATTAATTTGTACTGTCTCTTTATCTCTAGCCCTCATGTAGTCAAATACTATGGCAGTTATTTTAAGAATACAGACTTGTGGATTGTTATGGAGTACTGCGGAGCTGGTTCTGTGTCTGATATCATTCGATTACGAAGCAAAACAGTAAGTTTGCCTTCTAGAATAATACCACTGAGCTAGTCTCTTATGCTGTCTTTTTGCTGCCTTTTTTCATGCACTCTTCTACTATCACACCTGCAGAGATGACTATCACAGTTTCCCTTTTCCCTCCCTTTTCCCTCTTCTTTTCCCCTTTGCTCTTTCATGTCTCTTAATTGTGGCAGTTTTGACAACAACCCAAGCCGGTGATATTTACATGCTTTGCTTGTTTTGTATTGGTAGGGGTGGGGGGTGGCTGTCTAGTTGTTAAGCAGTACATTTTAAATGTTTCAATTTGGATTTAGTTTTCTTCTCCTACCCACAATGTTCACAGATTAACTTCCTCTACATCCTGTTGATCAGGGAATACTTTCTGTGAAAGAGTATTTGCTGTTACTGTGATTGAATTTCAGATAGTCACTAGCCACATATGGTTACTGAGGGCTTAAAAATGTGGCTTGTCTGAATTGAGATGCGCTATAAGTATAAAATACACACCAGATTTTGAAGGATTATTACAAAAAAAGAATTTAAAAAGTATAACATATTTTATATTGAACTCATGTTAGAATGATAATATTTTGGATATATATGGTTAAGTAAAATATATTATCAAAATTAATTTTGTGCATTATTTTTTCTTTTTTAAATGTGGCTACTAGAAAATTAAAGGTTGTATTTGTCACTCACATATTTTTGGGAGGCAGTGTTACCAATAGCTCAGCTGTTTAGAATAAGGAGCCAGGAAGCAAGTGATGAGCTTTGATTTCTTTGGCCACAGAAGGTACTCCAGACTCCAGCTTGCTACCCTGCCAGTAGTGTTTGGTTGGACTTGAGTGAAAGCACTATCATTTATTAGCTCTGTGACCTTTGGCACAAATTACTTAATTTGTGCTTCAGCTTCATCATCTATAAAATGGTGATGATAATAATAGTACCCACCTCATTGGATTATTATAAGGACTAAATGAGATTATTAAAATAGTGCCTAGCCCTGCTGGTTTTGCTCAGTGGTTAGAGCCTTGGCCTGTGGACCGAAGAGTCACAGGTTAGGTTCCTAGTCAAAGGCATGTACCTTGCTTGTGGATTTGATCCCTGGCCACAGTTAGGGTTGTATGGGAGGCAAACAATCCATGTATCTCAGACACATCCATGTTTCTCTCCCTCTCTCTTTCTGTCTCTCTCTTTTTCTCTCCCTCCCTCCCTCTCCCTCTCTCTCCTTCCTTCCCTCTTACTCACTCTAACTAAAAACAAAATCCATTGAAAAATATCCTTGGGTGAGGATTTTTATAAAAAAGTGCCTAATATAGATTAAATGCTTAGTAAGTGTTGGCTATTTTTAATGTTATTAGCACAGTGCCTGGCTCATAATAGATGCTTCTTAAATATTTTTTGATGGGTTGATAGTGTAGTAGATTCTGACACGCCTTATATCATTTCATTTTCACAGCATTCTTGAAGAAAGGTGATATTTTTATTTCATAGATTGAGAAACTAAAACTAAGAGAAGTTTGATAACTAGGTTAAGTCACACAGCTATAGAGTAGAACCAAGAGTGAAAGTGGGGTCTTTCTGTTTCCAAATCTTGTATTTTTTTCTCCATAGTATATTCCCTTCTGAATGTGAGTTTGTCATAAAGGGAACTGAGTGAGAACTTGTGGATTGACTGAGTTTGTTTAGGACTGGGACTGATCAGGTATTCTATTTCAGTACCCAGCATTCTTTTATGTGTTCATCATCATTCAACAGATATTTTTTTCAGCACCCTACTATGTGTCAGGTGGCTTTCTTGGTGCTAGGGATACAATAGTAAACAGACCAAAGAGACTTTTATTTATTTTTTATTTATTTATTTATTTTATCCTCACCCGAAGACATTCCTGCATTTATCTTCAGATAGAGCAGGAGGGAGAGAGGAAGGAAGAGAGAGAGAGAAACATCGATGTGAGAGAGACACATCGAGTGGCTGCCACCCACATGACCCCAACAGGGGCCTGGGGACAAACTGCAACTGAGATACATGCCCTTAGTGGAAACCGAACCCGGGTCTCTCTGGACCGCAGGCTAATGTTCTAACCGCTGAGCAAAACTGGCCAGGGCTCAAAGACACTTTTATTTTTTTTTTTTTATCCTCATCCGAGGATATTTTTCCATTTTTTTTGTACAGATAGAGTGGGAGGGAGAGAGAGGAAGGGAGAGAGAGAGAGAAACATCGACGTGAAGGGACACATCGAGTGGCTGCCACCCGCACGACCAACCAGGGCCGGGGACAAACTGCAACCGAAGTACGTGCCCTTAGCGGGAACTGAACCCGGGTCTCTCCAGACCGCAAGCCGACGCTTTAACCGCTGAGCCAAACTGGCCAGGGCTCAAAGACACTTTTAAATGCAGCATATGTTTCCAATGGGGAAGACAGTACATAAGTAGGTATACAAATAATGCATAATACGTCAGGTGATGATAATGCTGCATTGACTAATAAGGTAGGATAAAGGAATAGAAATTGATCTAGGAATGGAGGGAGCTACGGAAGGCCTCTCTGATTTTCTGATGAGGTGACATTTGGACAGAGACAGTGAAGTAAGGGAGCAAGTCATACAGAAATCTGGATGAAGAGCGTTGTAGGCAGAGGGGACAGTGGGTGAAAAGGCACATCAAGGAAGCCTACATGGTGGATGCAGAGTGAGCAAGGTAGAAGGTGGTAGAAGATGAAGGTAGCTGGGAACCAGGTCATGTAAGACCTTGGTGAGGACTGGCCTTAATTTGGAGTGATTTAGGAAGCCACTGAGGTTTTGAGCAGATCTGGCTTACATTTTAAAACGTTCTTTGTGGCTTCTGTGTGGAAAATACATTGCAGAGGGTCAAGGGCAGAAGCAACAAGACTGATTAGGAAATTATTAGAATAGCTCAGGCAGGATATGATGATGGCTTGGACGAGGGTGATTACAGAAAATATGTTTGGATATATAATGAAGACAGAGAAAAAGCCAAGAATGACCTCAAGGTTTTTGGCCAGAGCAACAGGAAAAATGAAATTGCCTTTTACTAACAGAGAAGAAACTGAGAAGAGTAGAGTAGGTTGGGTGGGTGGTAAGAAGAGGGCAAAGTTGGTGGCAGAAATAAAGAATTTGAGTTTGACATGTTATGCTTATGATACTTGTTAGGTATTCATTGTGGAGGTTGTGTAAGCAGCTATATGAATCTCATGTTTGGGAAGAGATCTGGGCTAGAAATATAACTTGGGGAGTGGTCAGTGTAGCAGTGGTATTATAAGCTGTCAAATGCTGTTTACAGATTGAATAAGATCTTATATTTATATTCTAGGAAAGGAGGTAGGATCTGTTTCTTTTTCCTTTTTCGAATGTGCTGATGTAAACTGATAGAATTTTGATTTCTCATTGTTTTTTTCAGTTAACAGAAGATGAAATAGCTACAATATTACAATCAACACTTAAGGGACTGGAATACCTTCATTTTATGAGAAAAATACACCGAGATATCAAAGCAGGAAATATTTTGCTAAATACAGAAGGACACGCAAAACTTGCAGATTTTGGGGTAGCAGGACAACTTACAGTAAGTAAAAATGTTACTTGTACTGGTAATTTTCAGCTCTGTCCTGAGAAAGAATTCCTTTTATTTATTTTTAAAATATAATACTTGATTTAATTATATTAGTTAAAAAAAATCAGAATGTACCAATAGGTTACCAAAGAGCTAGTAGGTTATTTTAGATCCTTTCCTGGGATTCAGTTCCCATAGTTTAAATTTGCTTAACTTTGATAAAAATAAAATCTAAAACAAGAAATGACAGAGTAGAAGTTTAAATTCTATTGGGCTATATCTTTATAAAAGGAAGAAGAATTAAATGCAAATTTCTTTCTTTGAATAAGCCATAATGTCTTCTCAGTGAACCTCCAGGTAGCAGTTACTGAAAACACTGTCCTCATTTGGGTCTAGGATACACTACAGGCTCTTGATTTTCCTTCTGCCTCACCAGTGCATGCAATTAAAAAAAACACATGTTTTCAAAACAGGAAGTCTAGAATTATCTGATTTTTTAAAATACGTTGGTGTATGTGAAATATATATAGAAAAATAAAAAGAGTTCTGGACAGATACATATTAAAATTTGCAACAAAGTTATATATCAAACAGTTTTCTTGGGTTGTAGACTATATAGATAATACTGTTTGCTTTTTTAGAGCTGGCATTATGTACGGTTTTCTTTTTCTTTTTTAATTTTAAATCTACCTGGAACATGTTAGTCTGGACTTAATAGTTTCCATTGATCTAGTTGGTTCAGTTTCTGCTCATTACTCTTAATTTAAAAAAAATTTATAACCATTTCTAGTTATAAGTTTTGAAAACAACTTTGACTATCACCATTTGAAAATACCCCTGCACCCTGGCCTGTTTGGCTCAGCCGTTAGAGCGTGGGCCTGCGGTCCAGAGAGACCTGGGTTCGGTTCCCGCTAAGGGCACGTATCTCGGTTGCATTTGTCCCGGCCCTAGTTGGGTCGTGCGGGTGGCAACCACTCGATGTGTTCCTTTCACATTGATGTTTCTCTTTCTCTCTCTCTCCCTCCCTCTCTCCCTCCCTTTCTCCCCCTCTCTCCCCCCCCCCCACTCTGTCTGAACAAAAAATGGAAAAATGTCCTCAGATGAGGATTAAAAAAAAAAAAAGAAAATACCCCTGCAAATTTCAAGCTTCAGAGCAAAGGAAATGACTAAACAGTAATATAGTTCCTGTGTTAATTTTTCACATAGGACCGACAAAGTGAGATTGATTTAAAAATGTCACCTGTCATGCCTGGCTGGTGTGGTTCAGTGGACTGAGCATGGACTGAGAAATTCTGGTTCCATTCCTGGTTAGGGCACTTGTCCAAGTTGTGGGCTTGGTCCCAATAGGGGGCGTGCAGGAGGCAGCTGATCGAAGTTTCTGTCTCACATCTATGTTTCTATCTCTCCCTTTTTTCTCTCTAAAAAAATCAATAAAAGCACATGTAATAATAATAAAAACAGAGAAATATGTGTATTATATCTCTATATCTTTCTTTAATCCCCAAACTAAGACTTTATATATGTACATATTTTATACTAATATATGTATATACTAGTATAAAATATATATTATTTAAAAATATATATACACACGTATGTACATGCATATATAATTTTCTGTTTTCCAATTTCCTGATTGCAAATGTAGCACTCATGTAAACCATAGAGTGTTACAGAAGTATACAGGATGGAAAGAAGTCCTTAGTGTTTGTAACATCTAGATGTAATTGTTGTTAATAGTTTGGTGTATGTTACTTGAGTTTCTTCTTTTTTTGTTATCTATAGAGCAGTATTTATTATTATTGATTGTTATTTCATTATTTATCTTTTACCAGAACAGGCTATATTGTATATAATTCTCAAACTAATTTTTTTTCTTTTGCTTCATAATATACCTTGTACATTTTTTCCATGACAGAAATATATATTTATTGCTCTCTTTTTTTAAAATATGGTATTTCATTGTATGGATATTTATTGTTTTTTAACTAACCTCCTTTAGATGGTTATTTGGGTTATTTTCTTTTTCTTCCCCCTCCCCTTTCCTCCCATTACAAATATTCCTACAATAATTGTACATACTGGGTAGGGCAAAAGTAGGTTTACAGTTGTTCATATGGAAAATTATACACTAATTAATAAATAATAATACAAGAATAAACTCTATTTCATGTACTTACAACTGTAAGCCTACTTTTGCCCCACCCTGGATATCTTGGAGTGCCTACACATAAGATACATTTCTAGCAGTAGATTTAGATCAAAGGATATGGACATTTAAGTTGAATAAGTATTACCAAATTGCCTACCAAAAGTTGTACCAATTTATACTATAGTATCAGTGTACTTCAGTGCATAATTTTATGCAATTGTCAACACTAGTTGTTAGTAATCCTTTTAATTGTTGTCAATCTTATTTTAGTGTTTTATTGATTGTTATTTTTTGTTTTAGTAACTGAGAATCTTTTATGTCTCCAGGTCATTTGAATTCCTTTTGTGACTTGCTTGGTCATGCCTTGAGTAGGGATTTTTTTTGTGGGGAGGTTAATCCTCACCTGAGGATATTTTCCATTGATTTTTTTAGGTAGAGTGTAAAGGAAGGAGGGAGAGAGAGAGAGAAACATTGATGTGGGAGAGAGACATCAAATGGTTGCCTCCCATATGACTCCAACTGGAGCTGGGGATGGAACCTGCAACCCTTCAGTACATGGGCTGACACCAACCACTGAGCAACACTGACCAGGGCTTGAGAATGGTTTTTATATGTATTTCAAATGTAAGGCATTTCTTATTGTTGGAAAAGTCTTTTTTTCTTAGTAGTTTCAATGCTTAGCAGTGATCTCTCTTCTTTCTATTTTAGGATACCATGGCCAAGCGAAATACAGTAATAGGAACGCCATTTTGGATGGCTCCAGAAGTGATTCAGGAAATTGGGTACAACTGTGTGGCAGACATCTGGTCGTTGGGAATAACTGCCATAGAAATGGCTGAAGGGAAACCCCCATATGCCGATATCCATCCAATGAGGGTAAGGAAATGGGTAGGAAACCACTGGGGTGGTTAGTTACTGGTCATCATTAGAAAGTTAGTTAAATGACTTACTTGGTTAGGTACCAAATGATAAATTAATTAATTGTATATTATTGATAAGTGTCAGTCTAGAATCCAGATGATACACTTCCACTAGTTGTAGTCTCTAATTAATTAAAGTATAATTTATCCTTCATTCGAGAGGCTGTATATCGATAGCCCTAGATAGGACATGGACCACAGAAATGCTTGATTTGACTTGTGCAATGTATATTTTTGTAGTTTAGGTGCTCACATTTTTTTTTTTTAATCCTCACCCGAGGACATTTTTTGATATTTTGTTCAGATAGAGTGGGAGGGGGAGAGAGAGAGAGAGAGAGAGAGAGAGAGAGAGAGAGAGAGAAACATTGACGTGAAAGGGACACATCAAGTGGTTGCCACCCACACAACCCAATCAGGGCCGGGGACAAACTGTAACTGAGGTACGTGCCCTTAGCGGGAACCGAATCTGGGTCTCTCGGGACCGCAGGCCGACACTCTAACCGCTGAGCCAAACCGGCCAGGGCTAGGTGCTCACATTTTAACGTAGCAACGTTAACTAGAGCTGAGTTATGGTCGTCTCCTTTGTACAGAGCATGGCTTTCCACTTTATCAGTCTCCACAATTGCCTGTTTACCAAGTGTCAGTGGTCACTTTACTGCAGTGTTTTCTTGAACGTTTGTCTTGTAGTAGTAGTAAGAGGAAAGCAAACTATTTTTTTGAACTCATGTCACTAGCACCCAGTCTGGTTTATGTGTTGTCTTTTTCCTGCTTAGTCCTTGCAATTATTTAAATTTGTAAGTTCTGGAGACTCTGTGCTCTCCAACCTCCGTCTACTTTTAGAGTGTTGAGAACTCATAGGTTTACTCTCCACCGAAACACCCTAAGGGGTTTCCAGCCTTGACCCACTCCAGGACCCCTCCCCACAGCACCGTTATAAGACCTCAACCCTTCCTCGGGGGCTTTATAGTCTTCATACCTCCCAACCCAGCTCCTTCTCTGATCAATTAGTTCTCCTACTGAAAGACTTAACAGTTTGTTTGTTTTTAAAGAATTCATGGGCCCAGAGATAAACTCCCCTCTTTTGGTAGGGGGAGGGCAGAAGTGGGGAATGGTGGAATGATTTACTGGTTATATTTTTAGACTTAAAGACTATAATTTAAACTGATTATTACAAAGAGTTTTATGTTTGTTTGTTTTTTAAACTGTGGCTCTTTTATTGGAAACTCAATAAGTAATAGTTTTATTTATTTTTTTAACTAACTACAATGTAGTGGGCCAATTTTTTTATTCAAGTATGTTGAATTGGCTTGGAAATAAATTAATCCCTTGTGACTTTGGGGACCTCTGGGTTTATGGTCTCCTTGCAGTCACTTACATCCAGTGATGGTGGTAACCTTTAGGGAGGAGGGAAATTCAACAGCTGTGGGGCTAGGTTTTATCTTCAGGATATTGATGCTCTTAGGTCTTGCCTTTTCACTTTGAGAGGCAATGTGCTGTGGTTAACAAAAATAAAAACCAGCGTGGTGGATATTGTGAGGTTCGGAGAACAAGGATACATATGAAAGAGGGAGGAAGGGGGGGAGTGGGAGGAAGAGAGAGCTGTATCACATTCTTAAATTGTCATACTTCTTACTTTGAATACTTAGACTTTTGTTAGATTTGGATGGGCTCTTCAGTGGATAAGAGAAAAACTATTTTATCAAACTTCACATGTATTCCTAGTTATGTTTTTATTGGAGCATCAATTTATTTTACCAAATGCTTTTTGTTTCGTTTTTTAACCAGGCAATCTTTATGATTCCTACCAACCCTCCTCCCACATTCCGAAAGCCAGAACTGTGGTCAGATAGCTTCATGGATTTTGTGAAGCAGTGTCTTGTAAAGAGCCCTGAGCAGAGAGCCACAGCCACTCAACTCCTACAGGTACGGATCACCCTGGGCTGCTCCCTCTGTCTTTCGTTCACATCCTGACGGAAAGATGCTCCTAACCCACCCACGTGGAGATGGCAAAGAAGTATAAGACATTTCCCGCCTCTTGGGAGGTTTAGATCTAACTGAGTAGAAAAGACATGGAAGAGAATGTTAAGTCATTGAACAAGACAGTACAGCAAGAAAATACAGGGCTCTATGGGATCAGAGAATGGGAATTGACATTTAGTGAGCACCTGCTGTGTGCTGGGTGCTTTTCACTTTATGTCATTTACTCATTGCAGAGACCCTGTGAGGGATGGGTATTATTTTTATTTGTTTTAAATATGTTCTTATTGATTTTTTTAGAGAGAGAGAGAAACACCCATGTGAGAAACTTCAGTTTGCTGCCTCCTGCACGCCCCCTACTGGGGATCAAGCCTGAAACCCCGGCATGTGCCCTGACCAGGAATTGAACCGGGACTTCTCGGTCCATGGGACAATGCTCAATCCATTGAGCCACACGGGCTGTGCTGGGTATTATTTTTATAGGTGAGAAAATGAAAGCTTAGAGAGATTAACTCATTTTGAGACACTCAGCTGGTAAACAGCGGAGCTGAGATAAGAACCGAGGTCTTTTTTATTCCAAAGCAGGAGTACCATCACATCTACCCAGTTCTGGCAAAGAACTGAAATTAATGGTAGGTGCTGTTGTAGCTCAGGGTGGAAGGAGGCCACTTTGAATTGGAGATACTAGGGATGCTTTTCTGGAGGAACTACTCTGTGCCTGGACCTTGAAGGATGGGTGGGATTTGTCAGGCAGTGTGCATAGTGGTTAAGAGCTTGGATTCTGGAATTCATACTGCCCAGGTTTGAATCCTGGCTCCCTATTTACTAGCTCTATGACCTTAGGCAAGTAACATAACTTCTCTGTTATGTTAGTTTTCTTATTTATAAAATGGAGACAGAGTACCTGTCTTATCATATATTATGAAGATTAAATGATATAATATGTATAATTTTGAATGATGTTTTATACATGTTAAAGATAGTACAATATGGATTTGACAAATATTTGCTATTATTACAGGGCTAGGCCAGTGGTTTTCAACCATATCAGACGATATATATAGATATAGATATATAAAAATTTTTAACACTTATTACTCTTTTGGAATGAAGTTCATAGATAATAAATCTATTTATGTCTATAATTTAAAATAATATAATGTCTATGATATAATGGAGACATATAAAGATAATAACTTATAATAAAATAATATATTTGTCAATATAGAAATGCTTCAGCCTTACTCAGCTTACAGACATAATGAAGTAGTTAGAGACCTGTTCCAATCATCGTGAAAGAATTTAGATTTAAGAGCAGTAAAAAGAACAGAAACCATTCTATTCACGAAATACAGGAATATGAATAGGTGGGCATAAAACTAATGGTAAGTAATAGCAGACCACACTTATTTGATATGGTAAGAGGAGGGAAATGATCTTATCAGCTTTCCCAGTGGAGAGAACAGGAAATAAGATATTCTTACAAAGGAACTGGATCTTATTTCTAAGTGTAGTGGCAAATTATTTTCCTGCCTGGCTGGGGTACTGATAAAGTTTTATGGAAGAGATATCTCCTCTCCCAGTTGTGTGGCTCTGTTGAGTGTTGTCCTACGCACCAAGAGATCACTGGTTGGATTCCTGGTCAGGGCACATTCCCGGGTTGTGGTTTCCATCTGCAATAGGGGGACGTGTAGGAGGTGGCCAGTTGATGATATTTCTCTCTCATCCATATTTCTACCCTCTCTGTCCCTCCCTTCCTCTCTCTCTAGGATCAATACAAAACATTAAAAAAGAGAGAGAGAGAGATCTCCTGTATTGTGAGCCCACCACGTGTGGAGGCATACTTTCAGTCCATGGAGTATTTATAAAGAACTTGGAGACCATATCCTGTGATGGGTGATGGGGAATAGAGAATGGATTACAAAGAGAAACACTGTGGACAATATCAGAATAAGTTTGGAAAACAACAGGCAACAGAATTTCCATATGTAACTTTTACAACAGATTTCTTACAATTGTGCCACAAACAACAAAAATGTGAGATGGCATAACTATTAGATTTTTTCATTTTTATAAAAGATATTTAGCAATATCTCTGTGTTTCAAGCGTCTTTGCTGATTGAATATTTGAGCCGACATCTGTTACATGTTTGTGACTAGCTTTAGTATTTCTGCAGTAACTACACTTTTACACTAAATTAGTTTTTTACTTAAATACATAGTTGGAAATGCTGTAGTACATTGAATAGAAAGAATAAGCTGGATGAGTAAATTATTCAGTGATTTCTAAACAATGTCTTTATTCCCTCTCCCCTTTTGTTTTTTGGTTAATCCTCACCCAAGGATATTTTTCCATTGATTGTTAGAGACAGTGGAAGGAAGGGAGGAAGTGAGAGAGAGACATTGATGTGAGAGAGGGAGACATTGATATGAGAGAGAAATATTGATTGGTTGCCTTCCACATGTGCCCAGCCAGGGCGGGGAGTCAAACCTGCAACCCAGGTGCGTGCCCTTGATTGGGAATCTAACTCGAGACCCTTGGCGCAGGCCAATGCTCTGATCACTGAGCCACACTGACCAGGGCTTTACTCCCTTTAAGTCCCCACTCCACACTTACTTCCCAAATTAGTAGACCTTTTACTTATCTCTTGAAAAAGTTTTCAGTCTTATTTATCAAAGTATACATGTACTGAGACATCGAAAGATGTGTAGAATGTGCCACAGTGTGTTGTTGAACCCAAGTTCCACACTTTGCAGTCTCCCCTCTCATGCTGTTCCTATTCTTCAAACATTGTAACTACAAGCTCCCAAAACTATAGAACTTCCTCTAGGGGGTGATACCGCCCTGTTGATAATCTCTAGATTTGGCAGAGAGAAAGGGAGGGGACAGTTCCAGCCAGGCCGAAAAAGACGGGCAAAGCCTGACTGTGCATCTGCTCAGTTACAAAGTGAGCATGGTTTAGCTGTTGTCCAACACAGAAGGCGAACTGATTCTACACGTATTATCAAGTACCTGCTCTGTGATAGGCATTCTTTTGGCACTGGTGCATATAAACTGTCCCCATTGTTTGTCACTTTCTTGTTAAAGCACCCATTTGTCAAGAGCGCCAAAGGAGTGTCAATACTGAGGGACTTGATTAACGAAGCCATGGATGTGAAACTGAAACGCCAGGAAGCCCAGCAGCGGGAGGTGGACCAGGACGATGAAGAAAACTCAGTGAGTGGTAGCCCTGGCTTTGGGCCTAGGCATTAATGCTTGTTATTTCATGATTGTCAAGCCAGGTAAGATGCGTAGATGTTGGATCGTCCTGGAGCTGGAGACTCTTCTTACATGAGTCTGTCCTGTCCTGGACCAAGGCTTGCTTCATCTGTGCGTGCTCTTCTCAGTGCTAAGACATTTTCAGATTTGTCTTTTATTCAGTGTGACTTTTTATTTGGGAAAGAGAATGCTCAGGACTGAGGCTTGGTTTTTCAGTGTCCTTTTGGGGTATCTAGAATTCATACTAAATATGTAGATTTCATACTCCCTCACAACCCTGGGATTCCAAGGAGGTGCCCCTGAGCTCCTTAGATCTATGTTGCAAAACTCTATTAAGAAGTGGACAGGGAGCGGGTCCTTTAAGGTTAGATATGCTGTTCTCCCGTGGGTAAAATTATGTTCCTTGGTTACATAAGAGTGTTCTCAGTTCTACAAAGTAGGTTTAGAATCTGAATAAGTGTCAAATCCAGAAATATTTGCACCAAGATGAATAATAGTAATTCAGAAAACTCATTTTTGATCAAATTAGCTCCAAACTGAGATTTTGGTCCTTTTACAGGAGGAGGATGAATTGGATTCTGGCACGATGGTTCGAGCAGCAGGTGATGAGATGGGCACTGTCCGAGTAGCCAGCACCATGAGTGATGGAGCCAATACAATGATTGAACATGACGACACATTGCCATCACAGCTGGGCACCATGGTGATCAATGCAGAGGATGAGGAAGAGGAAGGGACTATGAAAAGTAAGGCTCTGCTCAAATATAGTAACTTCTCAGGCAGACCATACGCATTCCAGAGAAAACAGGTTCATGCGGTCCACACAGGCTCAGCCTCGAGGCCCCTTCTAGTGCTGCAACCAAAGGAATAGAAACACTGGAGGGAGGTGGTGAGGGCATGGGCTTGGGGAGGGGAAGCTGGCATGTGGAGTCAGAGGCAAGAAAGCATCAGCAATGAGAAGGGACTTGCTTTTGAACCTGAGTGGCCCTTCTCTCATTGAATGTGTCATTTTTCCTTCTTTTCCTGGGTCTGTGGAGGCAAGTCCATACATTGATTTGATGCAGAGTTCTGAGCTAATGAAGTTCTGAGCTGTTCACTGTATATATCTTCAGTCTATTTTCATAATACCCTGTGTGTCTAACCCAGGTTCACCAACACTCAGTCTATTCAGGATGACTGTACACATTTAAGAGTCCTATCAAATCCTTTGGAGTAGAAGCCTGTATCTACTTACCCCACTGACCCATTTATACCTGTGGCTGAGGCCTAACACCTGAGCCTAGCTCTCATCATTGCATCATCCTCTCCTCCCTTCTTCAGTTTCCTTTCCTCTTCCTCTGTGTTACAGACCAAGTCACAGAGGAAAGGAATTTGAGAGTATAAAGCGATACTAATTGATTATATAAGTACAGTTTTGCCTAAACTTTGCATAGGTTTAAAGCATTAAGTCTCTATGATCTTTTCATTGCCATCTTTTTAAAAAATTTCTTCCTCTAAACCAGGGATGGCAAACTCTGATCTACATCCCAAATGTGACCTGCCACCTGGTTTTAATAAAGTTTTATTGGAATTTAGCCATGTCCATTCATTTACATGGTATCTATACTGCTTTTGTGCTACAGAAGCAGAGTTGAGTATTTGACTTGAGATCCTGTGGCTCCCAAAGCCTGAAATGTTTGCTGTCTGTTCCTTTACAGACAGAAAAAGTTCTCTAACCCCTTCGCTAGACCCTCTGCTTTGTGATTGATTGATTAATTCATTTAATAAATTTTTCTTCAGTGCCTATTATATCCCAGGTACTTTGATAGATGCTGAGAATACAACAGGGAATGAAGAAACAGTCCTTGTCTTGAAGGAACTCATTGTCTAGTGTGGGGGATGGACCATTAATTATACTTCAATGTATGAAGTAAGTTCTAAAATAGAGGTAATGTAGGGTGTTGTCCAAGCAGAGTGGAAGAGTATTTAGTTTAGACGGGATTACTGAAACATTCCTAGAGGAAAAGGGCAGGCAGGTTGGCAGGTGAGTAGGGTAGGCTGGAGATGTCCCAGCGAGGGAACAATGCTCACAAATTCCTAGAAGCAAGAGAAAGGCGTGGGGAGTTCGGGGCAGCTGCAGCTGGTTTACTGTGGCCGGACAGGCAGTTCCAGGGTGTGGTTCTTCGGCAGTCCCCGCTAAGTTTCACCTCTCAGGTGTTCGTATTTCTAATCAACCCTTTGTTTTCAGGTGTTTGTATTTCTAATCAACCCTTTGTTTTCGAAGGGAAGAGGTACTTTTGTTTGTTTGCTTTGTTTTGGAGCCACTGATCACTTACCTGTGTTTGGCCTCTGATCAGAACCTCATGGATGGGAAAGAGTAGCAGGACTATTGGTGGACATGTAAATTGTATAACTTTTCTGGAATGTAATATGTATCAAGAGTTTGAAAAGTTCAAACCTTTGACCCGTAAACTCCACTTCTAGGAATCTGGTCTAAGAAAATAATTGAAGATATTAGGCAAGTTATATTCAAGAATCTTTTCAAACATGTTACTTAAAATTTTTTTTAAAAGCTGCATTAATTTAAATGTTTAGTAGCAGATGGTTAGACAAATAAATTATGATGCAACCATAGGATAGAATACTACACCATACAAAAATGTTAAAAAACCTCAGAGGAGGGGGGGGAGGGATGAGATAAACCAAAGGACTTATATGCATGTATGGGTGACCACAATACTGGGGGGTGGGGGCGAGATCAGGAGGAGGGTGTCTAGGGAGAAAAAGGAGAAATATCTGTAACAAAAATAAATTAATTTAAAAAGTCCTGTTTTGGGGAAAATATTTAGGATATGTTGTTAAGTGAGGAAAGAAGGAATCAAAATTATAGCATGACTCCAGTTTTACAAAAGTAAAAATAAGTTAACACGTTAATATGTGCTTAGAATAAAGACTGAAAATAAACCAATAAAAAAGCTGGAGGAAAATAAACCAAATATTAAAAGGAGCTATTGCCCTGGCCGAGTGGCTGAGTAGGTTGGAGCATCGTCCCGTACACCAAACGGTTGTGGGTTCACTTCCCAGTCAGGGCACATAACTAGGTTTTGGGTTTGATCCCTGGTGAGGCAACCCATGGATGTTTCTCTGTCGTATTGATGTTTCTCTCTCTCCCCCTCCCTTCTTCTTTCTCTAAAATCAATAAAACATATCCTTGGGTGAGGATTTAAAAAAAAAGTAGGAATTGTTAATAATAGGATTATAGGTATTTAGAAGTTTTCCCAAATTATTTTCTAGCATTTATCAGAAAAATACAATTCCACCAAAAATACTACTGATGTTATAGTATGTCCTGTAAATTAGGACTTTGAACTATGCATTGCCTTAAGAATCTTTTGTCACCCTGCCCAGTTTGGTTCAGCGGTTGGAGCATCTGCCCATGGACTGAAGGGTCTCAGGTTCACTTCTGGTCAAGGGCACGTACTTGGGTTGCAGATTTGACCCCCGGCCCATGTTTCTCTCTCTCTCTCTCTCTCTCTTTCTTCTTTCTTTCTCTTTCCCTCTCTCCCTATCCCTTTCCCCTTCCCTCCCTCCCTTTCACTCTCTTTAAAAATCAATGGGCCCTGGCCGGTTTGGCTCAGCGGTTGGAGCGTTGGCCTGCGGTACAGAGAGACCCGGGTTCGGTTCCCGCTAAGGGCACGTACCTCGGTTGCAGTTTGTCCCCGGCCCTGGTTGGTCGTGCGGGTGGCAGCCACTCGATGTGTCCCTTCACATCGATGTTTCTCTCTCTCTCTTCCTCTCTCTCCCTCCCGCTCTATCTGAACAAAAAATGGAAAAATGTCCTCGGGTGAGGATAAAAAAAAAAAAAAGGCCCTGGCCAGTTTGGCTCAGTGGTTAGAGCGTCGGCCTGTGGTCCGGAGAGACCTGGGTTCGGTTCCCGCTAAGGGCACGTACTTCGGTTGCAGTTTGTCCCCGGCCCTGGTTGGTCGTGCGGGTGGCAGCCACTCAGTGTGTCCCTTCATGTCGATGTTTCTCTCTCTCTCTCCTTCCTCTCTCTCCCTCCCACTCTATCTGTACAAAAAATGGAAAAATATCCTCGGGTGAGGATTAAAAAAAAAAAAAAAAAATGTTCTTTGCCCTGGCCGGTTTGGCTCAGCGGTTAGAGCATCCACCTGCGGTCCGAGAGACCCGGGTTCGGTTCCCGCTAAGGGCATGTACCTCGGTTGCAGTTTGTCCCCGGCCCTGGTTGGTCGTGCGGGTGGCAGCCACTCGATGTGTCCCTTTCACATCGATGTTTCCCTTTTTCTCTCTCTTCCTCTCTCTCCCTCCCACTCTATCTGTGCAAAAAATGGAAAAATGTCCTCGGGTGAGGATAAAAAAAAAAAAAAAAAAAATCAATGGAAAGATATCCTCTGGTGAGGATTAACAACAAAGAAAGAATATATATATTTTTTTTTCCTCCTTTCTTCCTCCTCTCACTGCTTTTTATGGCCTTAAAAATGGATGTTTACAAAGTGACATTTGTCATTCTTACTGTGTTCTTAGGGTATGTTTTATCCTCTAAACTCAAGATTGAAGCATCCTAGATGTATATTGTGCTTGGCATTGAATAAATTATCAAGTGAATGCTATGAACTAAATTTAGTTGTTCTTTTTCTTTTTTAAGTAGCCCATGTGATCTGTTAGGAAAATTTATTTTGCAGTAATAAGCTGCTGACCTCCAGTTCTTTTCTTTGCCTCTGAGTGCCATATCTTCTTCTTCTTGGAAGGGCTTTAATTATGCAGATGATTATAATCTCCATGTCACATCGAGGTTGCCTCGTTAACATGTGTTGTGCATGCACGAGTTATGGAAAATCTGCCTGTTTTAATTTAAAGAATTAATTTTGTTTCTAATGTAATTTTCATATTTCAAGTGCTAATTAATTCAGTGAGTTGTTTATTCAGTTTCTGAGCTTGGATAGTTTTAGCATGCCTAATGAGAAAACATGCATCTTTTATTATAGTCATGATGAAAAAATCATTTAAAAACCTCAACAGTCACGGCTGAGTGATAGTAAATATATTCCGTTCACAAGCAATCTGTTGCAGGTCTTATAATACAGCTTTTGAGTCACAAGTTTGAAGATTTAACACTTAGTTTGAGATCTTGATGTCTTATTATTTTAAGAGTTATTTAAACTTTCCATTATGGAAAACAAAAACATACAGAATTGCACAGAATAATATCATGACTCCAGTGAACCTATTACCCAGGTTCAAAAATGGTTAACTCACTGCCCATCATATTTCAGCCCCAACTTCCCAAAGGAAAATAACAAGCTGAATTAACTTAAAGCAAAACTCAAGCATCATATTATTTATTCAGAATTGATTTTTAAACATTTAAAGGAGACTATTGACTAAGCCTGACTCAGATACTATCTGTGTTGGATTGGATAATTCACTTTCCTTATATCAGTAAAATTAAAGAATTATTCTTTTTTATTTATTTTTAAATTTTTATTGAATTTATTGGGGTGACTTTGGTTGATAAAATTATATAGGTTTCAGCTCTGGCCAGTGTTGCTCAGTTGGTTGGAGCGCTGTCCCATACACCAAGAGGTGGTGGGTTCGATTCCAGTCAGGGCATGTATCCAGGTTGCAGGTTCGATCCCCGGTTGGGACATGTGCGAGAGGCAACAACTGATCGATGTTTCTCACATCAGCGTTTCTCTCTGTCTCTCTTACTGTCTCGCTTTCTCTCTCCCTTCCTCTCCCCTCCTCCCCC